TAGGGCACCCCCAAGTGTCCCAGGATCAGAGAGGATTTATCATCCCTCCATCGGGATCTGGGTCCTGCCAGGGCCTGGAAATCTTCCAGAGGGAGGAAATCAGGAGGAATTCTGATCAGATATTTAGCTCCTCATCTTCTCCCTAAAGCTGATTCTGTCCACCTTCAGAGGAAGATCAGTTCTCCCACTTGGATCCCAGCTGAGGCTCAGAACAAAGCTGGATTTTTGTTTTGATGACAAAAGCAAATCCCAGGTCTCACTCCATCCATCAAAGTACCAAAACTTCTCCAAACATTCCCAACAGAACGTATTCACTAGAGGCGGGAATTAAAAACCGGTTCTTGCTGAGAGCAATTTCAATTCCTAGGAATAGTTTGTCATTTCTGCAAAAAATTCTTTGATCAATTCTAGTAGATGGAAACGACGTCACCATGCATGCTGCATAGCTTCCAAAAGCTACGCTGCGTAGCTTACTCAGCAGGAAACAAGGCATCACAAACGCTCGAGGGTTTGGTTGCACTTTACGAGAAAAGATGACAACACGGCATCAATACCTGCAAAGTAGATATTTCATCAAAGCGAGGAAACACTACGGATATGCAAAAGAGTTTGCCCTAAAAATATGCGATAACTTAGACTGAATGTCGTGTCTTGACCCGCTCCAGACTGGTGAATTTCAGCGCAGCAGGAGCGTGACGTTCTCATGTTCACACTGAAGGTAACTAACCTTACATCGCCTGTCATGTCATCGTAGATCTTTCCAACTAAGGCCAACTGATAATGTATCATTAATAAACTGAATGTGCTGCTGACAGTCATAATGCAGGAGACTGTGTGCCACATACTGATGGACAGAATGGTCAATAACATTGATTTTGATAAAAACTTATCAATTCCAACTCCCAGAATTTATAGTTATCTTTCCAAGCAGAAACATGAATGTTTGTTTTGTCCCAAATACATTTGACCCATAAAGCTTGACGTTTCTAAAACACTCCATGCCTCCAGAAGGACAGACTTCAGTCAGTCCAGAGATCTGCGTTCAGACCTGCAGCCCGTGTGTCACTGAACAAATGTTTTAAAGCTTTTTATCGGATTAGTGCGCTCACGCAGCAGCAGGCAGGTCGATCAAGCCACTCGGACTGATGGGTAATAATAATGTTATCCTAAAAGGTTACACAGCTATCCTACCATTGATTGACTTTTCCTGCCGGGTCTCTCTGATGTTCACCTCCATCCAATCTTTCATTTGTTTATGAAATATTGATATTAATGCCATCTCCTCTTATAGATCCAGCTTGATGGGAAGTGTTTCATACTGCAGGAAAATGTTTCTGTTGGAGGTTGGTGAACTTTCCAGAATGAAACACATGATGCTCTTTATAATCTCCATGGCTTTAAAGGCACATTTGCAAAAATAAAAGTCTTCTACAACACGGGGTGTCCATCTGTGGTTTCGTGGTTTTCACCAGAGTAAAAAAGCGGGTTAAACTCACAGAGAGGGCTGCTTAAACCAGTTCTCCAACTCTGATAGATCAAGTTCTGCATGCCTATAGCGCCCTCTGCCTGTAATCTACCTCAAAGACCTGCTCAACTGTATTTTTGTCTCCCTGAAAGCATTTTTATGAACCTTTCTTACACCACAGAGCAGCCTGATGCAGGAGTTGGCTGCATCAGGACTGTTTCAGTCCACAGAATCTTTACTCTTCCTTTATTGACAGCCAGGATTGACGTGTTACCGCAGCTGGAGCTTCTTGTGCTGGAGAAAAGCCTCCTGGATCAATAGCTGTTACCTCAGAAAAGCCCACAGAACCACTAATGAATCCACTGGCTCACATGCAGTCCACTGTTCTCACATTCACCTCTCTGGATGTAAGAATAAATTACATTTATTAGAATATATTATTTATTTGCTTGTGAGATTTTAGTGTTATTGTTAAATTATTGATGCTTTTATTGTGAAAAATATAAAAGACTAGAACTGGAAGATCCAAGCAGACAAAAAGAACCTTTTTTGTTCTTTGTCTTGTGATATTTTAGTGGTTGGTCCTCTGGACTGGTTTCTGTGTTTTTTCTGTCTGGCACGCCCTCCTGTCTGGATGCTTCACATCTTCTGTTGTTTCAAGGATCAAAGTTCTGGTGAATCAAAGCAGTTGAAGCACGTTATTCACCTGTCTGGGATTTCTGCTTATGAGAAAGTTTTGAGCCAATGAGGTGGCAGGTGCAGAGGTAAACATGATGCTGCAGGCTGACTGCTCTGCTGCAGTGTTGCTGTCTCAAGCCACTGTGATGGTGAAAGTGTGGTGCTTGAATCACAGTTTAATCTGTCTGTTTATGATTTATTCATTTATTTTCTTGTCAAATAAAACAGTTAAAGTGTTGACTCTACAGCTGGAGCCTGAAGGCTCTTAATGCCACGACGTGCCAGTGAGTGGAGCAGAGATGAGGATCCAACCGCTGGGGAAAACGCTGGGGAGGAATCAGGCTGAACCAAATGGGGAGACAGGACAGGGTGTGACACTTAAACACTTTCACTGATGCTGAAACATGTTTATAAATATAGATGGTCCAAGAAAAGTTGTGTGAAATCGGCCATATTTAGCACATTCAGCTAATGTAACACACAAAACCCAGTTTTTTTTTGTTTGTTTTTTATATTAGGGGCATGAACGCATCGTGGCCAAGCAACACTTAGGTCTAATGTTTTTCTGGGAATATGATGTCCATTTAATAAAACCAAAAGTGAAACGCATCTCTTCACTGTGCGTTCATCTTTTTAACACCTTAATCTAACTTCTGAAATGTCTCCTCAGCCTTCATTAGTGTCTACAGGAGCGATTAAACACTAAATGAAACAAATCAGCTGTGTTCATGATCTAAAACATGCAGGAAACATGCTGGAAGCAGACTCCAGCGTGAGACGTGTCAGCTCCACTTTACTAAGTCCAACAGGGACTGGACTAACACTCTGAAGTTGCAAGTGCGGGTTTCTTGCCACAGAGGGTGGTGGGGACAGAGTGACATTTCATTAGCCCTGTAAAGGGTCATTTTAGCACAAACTGGCTCAAGGAAATTATTCAAAATTATGAAAAAGTTGCATAACATCCTTTTAACAGGACATTTGTAGAGGAAAAACTATTCAAGATGGAAGGAAAATTCAAGATTTTTATTTCAATAAAAGTAAAAAAAACTGGTTTCAAAACTACTTAAATTATTTAAGTAAAAATAATGTGTGTTAAAAAAAGCCATTAAGCTTCAGGGTCAGACTCACTACGAAACCAGTTTTTACTTATTATTTTTTTAATTGAGTTTTTCATGCAGGCTGAAAATGAAGAAAGTCTTCTACCTCTATTTCCTGCATTAGCTTATGATAGAAAACAGACTGAAAAATGTTCAGTTCAGAAAAGCCCGTCAGATTTATGTCACACTGTCACTTAACATTCATGGACTCACCCATCTTGACTCGCAACGTGTAAGGCTGGTTTAGCATCCAGAAAACAGCAATGAACGCTTTGGCTAGTAGAAGCTAACCATTAGCATTAGCAACTTCACCACACAGCAGAACTCCTTCAGACTTGTTTTATCTGTGGATAAAAACATCAGCGTCACAATGCAAACAGAGTCAGTGTTGCGTTGCTGTTAGTCAAACAGAGCCGAGATGTTCAAACAGGCCAGATGTTCTCCAGCTGACCCCCATGTCCTCAGACAGGTGCACCAGAGCTTTATGCCCTCAGAGAACGACTTACAAGGCAGACCACTGCAAATGTACTAAAATATGAGTAAAGCTGACCTTTACTAAAGGCCAAAATGACTTCAATGTTATTTCAGTAAGACAGAGCAGGCTTCTTGTTTCAGCCACATGTGCCCATTGAAGATGATCACATTTTAGTTAACGCAAATACATTACAGAACCACACGTGGATGGTATACAACCAACATGGTGTCAGAATGTTTGATGTTTAAATTATTATCCAACTGCAATTAAATTCACCCTATCTGGATGGTAGAGTGTGTCTGTGTTTCTTTAACAACAACTGAATAAAATATTAGTAACAAGGCTATTTTTATACTGTAAGGAGTAGAAAGTGTCAAATAACAGATAATTACACCGTATGCATAGCCAAATTTCGGATAGCGGCCCTGGAGGACCAGGATTAGACACCACTGATTAAACTAGATCAGAACACAGAAGAAGAAGAGTTATGGAAGCAAAAGAAAACTGAACTGAGAGTTCCTGGCGTTTGTTTAGGTTTTAGCATCGTGCATCCTCTTTAACACTTCCTGTTTTTTTTACTAGTTTTCTTATAAATTCTTTTAGCTTGTTTTCTTCTTTTGCTGTGCCTCTGTCCTTCATTTCAAATCAGTAATCATTTTCTTCCTGCTCCTTCTTTAGATTATCTTTTGAATCAGTGAAAACATATTCAGACACATTTTAATGTATTTTCTTTCTGCTTTCAGGTTTTGTAAGAGAATATTGTAGATTGTTACGTTTTTCTTATATAAAAATGAGGATTTTTAAGCTGCTTTTCTTTTCTTTTCTTTAAGTCTGTTTGATTTCCACATAACCATTTCCTGTTTGCTCTGGATTTAACAGATAACTGGATGGATTCTGGCAGGTTTGATTTATGAGACCCTGCAGATCCACAAAGATATGAAGCCATGACCACAGGCTCTGCAGCACAGCAGACCCACGTCCACTGATCTTGCAAATCCAGGCACTTTGCTGCTCATCTGCAGGGTGTCAGCTCAGCCAGAGCAGGGGGGTATTTATGCACCAAACCAGAGCTGCAGGCTGGGAAATGCTGACTTATGTGTAAATATCAATTCAATTAGCCAGAGTCTGTGTTGCTGAGGTTGCACCTTCTAATTTAAATGTTGCACAGACTCCAACAGCCCTGCAGAAATCCAATTTGTACGACAGCAGTGGGTATTAGATTACTTGTGTTCACACCCTGTTTTCTGTTGGTGTTTTGTCAGTAACTAGAGAATCAGAGCCATGCTGATGTCAGATAACTTTATTAGCTCAGGATGATTTCCTGCAGGAAAACAAATCACTTTAAGATTTCAGGCAAAATTCACTTCAGTTTGAAACAAAATCAGATATGAATGTTTGCTGAAAACAGAAAAGAACTAATAAATATCTGTTACATCTGGATTAAAAGTGCACAACAGTTTTCCCTGATGCTGAAACCCACCCATAACCCAGTTCGAGTCAGCTCTGAGGTTCTGAGTCTCGGTAACTCTTTAAAACTCAAGGCACGTCGTTGTGTCTCCAGACTCAGCCTTTTGTTTTCCAGACCTGACAAACAAACCCGCTCAGAGTTATTTGGGTCATCCTGTCGCTACAGCTTCAGCAAAACCTCTCCAGAGGAGCCGGGAAGTAAAAGCTGCTTCTCGGGGAGACGTTACAGTGAAGCACGGCTCATAAATAAGTAAAACAGTCAGGAGTTTATTACGATTACATATAATCTCATTGTAGTTAGTATTTAAACACGGATGCATATGTCTGCGATTCGCATTAATGATGACATTCTGTGAAAAAAAGAGATTTTGGTAACACTTCCTTTTACAGTACCCCAGTTACTAAGTACTTACATGGTAATTATATAGTAGTTTAAAGTGTAATATTGTGTAATTAAAGTGTGTAATTGTAATACAGTGTAATTGTTGTGTAACGCAGTACAAACTGGGAATGATTAATAAAAACTAAAACTAGGATTGAACCTGAGTCACATGGTAATAACTGTTTAAGAACTCAGAAACAATAATACACTTTAACTTACTATGTAATTACCATGTAAGTACTTAGTAATTAGGGGACTGTAAAAGGAAGAGTTACAAAGATTTTTGAGTTTGTAATTTCTTTCTCATATTTTTCATGTTTATAGTTTATTCTGAGTATTTATTGTCCTTTCCTCTGTTCTCCTCTTGATGTTTGTCTTTTCTGCTTGTTTGTTAAACTTTTTATCAAATATTTGTTGGTATTTACTAGAATTTCAGGTCTAGTCTTGAATTTATTCAACTTTTTATGACAATTCTTGCAACAGCAGAATATTTGGAAGGCTGAATTTCATTTCCTAGAGTTACCTCTTGATTCTGAGTGCCTTTAATTTGAATTTAGAGGATAACGTGGTTAAGCTGACCTAAAGCAGTCCTCCATATGAATGCCATGGAGTTACCTCAGATTTAGTTTAGGTGACCAGATGTTCTGTGTGTTTACAGCTGTTCCAACAAACAAGCTGCAGGCCTACAGAAACAAGGAACAACAACAGGAATGAACAGAAAAAGATGGACGTTTTCTCCAGACTGTGTTTCATTTGACCTAGACCGCTGCACTCTGCTGCCTCATTCCGAGTGAACACAAACTGCTACGTTCTTGTGGCGTTCCCAGTAGTGGCAGTCTTCCGGAAAGCTCCATGCAGCTGCAAACTCTTTGTGACGACTCACGGCGTGAACGACGAAGCCACACAGCTGCTTCTCCAGCACCTCCACCACCTCGGGGGCGTTGCCCCGCTTCCCCTGACCCTCCATCAGCTGCTGGATGCAGTCGCGGGGCACCGGCTGAGGGTGGGTGCTGTAGGACACCACCAGGTCAATGTTGTTCACCTGGAGAACCTCGAACCAGTTACGTCCAGCCACGTGGTAGAAATGCTTCCCTGCTCGCAAATTTCTGTAGGTGCTTCCTGAGTGGTTGATGAGCCGCACCGACCAGCATACCCAGTCGTACTTTTTCACCAGGAACTCCAGGATCTGCTGACTTGTGTCCTGCAGAGTTTCTTCTCCCTGTTCTTGCAGGATGCGTTGCAGGTCTAGTTCTGCTTGTTCTGCAAACGAAGCCACGCATGATTCGATGGTCGTCTTCATTCTGGATTCTACTTCTTCTATTTTTTGGCTCCACTCTTGGATTTTTTCCTGCTCTTCTTCTGGGCTCTGCAGGGTCAGAGCACAGTGTCCCAGCAGAGCGATCAGGCCGAGGCAGAAGAGCTCCTTCATCCGAACACAGAAATCCTCTAGAAGACGTCGGTTCCTCACAACATACCTAAAAAAAACAATAACGACCACATTTCACATCTAACTGATGGATAAAAGCTGCAGAACAAGAACCAAAGCTTTTACCTTTCCACCACTTCCAGAATTGGTTCTCCAAAGCTGTTGATTCCCATCAGAGCATCGTAGAGCACAAACAGGTTCTTCTCTCCACCAGTTTTGGCAAAGTGCTCCAAGAAAAGTCGGGTCTTCACCTCCTTGAACTGATGCTTGGCCTCCAGGATGTCCATGTACTTCCTGAACTGGTTCCTGATGTTCTCCTCCACAGAGAAGTACTGTGAGTCCAGCTTCCCCTTTTTGATCTCACCATCGATGTCCTCCAGCTGACTGGAGAGCACGTCCAGCTTGTTCCGCACGGTCAGGAACTGCTCTTTGACATAATACACCTCCTTGCTGTGAACGCTGTCCAGAGCCAGTTTGAGAACCGGAGCGGCAGCCTCACAGAGAGGGAAGAGCTCTCCCACAGCGCTCGCCAGCACCTCAGCGCCCTTCTCAAACATGTCCATCACCGCCTCGATGGCCTGTTTCTTCTGGGCCACGACTTTTTCCAGGGAACTTGACATTTTTCTGCCATGTGCACAAAAGAAATCATGTTGAACAAATACAGTTTAATCAAAATATCTAAAACTGCTAAGTTATTTTATTTAAATTGGGTCCTGATGATGAACTCAGAGGCTTTACTGGTTTTGGTGGGATGTGTTGAAATAAGTGATACTGACAGAAAATAAAAATGTTTTCTACATAAACGTATCAACAGTAAATCCTCAAGATGCCGATTCTCCTGATCTGCTGAGGAAAACCTTCCAGACAAACAAAAATCCTCAAAGAAGAATCTGGTCCACAAATAGGCCTAGATTTACATCTGATCCAGTCTCCTGACCCAAACCTCCCCTTCTGGAATACAGACGGTATCAACTCCAACATTTTTGGACAAAAGTACCAACAAAAGATCAGGGGTCTCATTTATCAAACATTGTGTAGAGTCCTTACTAAAACCGTACTTAAGCTCAGCAAAGAAAATGTAATTACGCCAAGTAGGTTTGTGATCTATCAAACATGGAGTAAGCACAGCTGCACGCAATCCCCGCTTCATAAATCAGTGATTATCTAGAGAGTTTCTCAGCTGCTTTTTAGTCACATCCCGCCCTCACCACGCCCACTTACTGCCATAAATAGTCAATGCAAAGTGCCTTGTGGATCTCATGCATATACATAAGCCGGCTGTTGCAGTGCTCCGCCAATGACGATGGCGACTGTAGAACCAGGCAGATCAAGGAAGCGCAATTTCACACAAGCAGAAATTGAGGTACTTGTGGGTGAGGTGGAGAAATGAAAGGAAGTACTTTTGCAAAACAAATAAGAGAAAATCCATGGAGTGGCACAACGTTGCTGAAGCCGTCAATGTTGTGAGTTCTTCAGAGAGATCTGTGGGATTCGATCCCCAGACTCCCAAGTGAAAGTCACATGTGCACCCTGCCAGGCGTTTATACATGGAGATCCTGGCTCCATGCCATTGAGTGATCTATAAACTAGTAGAAGCACTTAGAAATCGATTCTGTAGTTTGCTGGTAACCAGTGTAGAGAGTTAAGAACAGGAGTGATGTGCTCCGTTCTCTTGGTTCTTGTTAAGACTCTAGCAGCAGCATTCTGAACAAGCTGCAGTTGGTTCACAGCTTTTGTGGGAAGACCGGTTAGAAGACCACTGAAATAGTCCAGCCTGCTGGAGATGAACACATGAATGAGTGTCTCTAGGTCCTGTCTGCACACAAGACCTCTGAGTTGTGCTATTTGATGAAGATGATAAAACGCTGATCTACTCATAGCGTTAATGTGACCAGTGAAGCTCTGGTTTGAATCAATTATGACACCAAGATTTCAAACCTGAGTAGCTAGAAACAGACAGAGAGCGAGAGGGAGAGAGAGAGAGAGAGAGAGAGAGAGAGAGAGAGAGAGAGAGAGAGAGAGAGAGAGAGAGAGAGAGAGAGA